GGCACAGCCCAGCACAGCCCAGCAAAGCTCAGCACATCCCTGGCACAGCCCAGCACAGCTCAGCTCAGCACAGCCCAGCACAGCTCAGCACATCCCTGGCACAGCCCAGCACAGCTCAGCTCAGCACAGCCCTCACCTCGTACAGGCCTGAAGTCGCCGTTTGCCTCGGCCTTGCTGGGGGCGAAGGGGCTGATGGAGGGGAAGACAATGAGGGTGAAGGAGAGCAGCAGGACCTGGGGACAGAGGGGACATCACTGAGCACAGCAGGGAGAGGAACCAGGAGCTGGCTCACTGCTGGTGGCAGACCCAGGAGTGCATCTATTCCTCCATCCCTCCCTTCTGGTTCATGTCCTACCAGTGCACCTCCTGGATGAGCTTTGAGGTCCCTTCCCCACCTCCATCCATCCATCCCTCCATCCCTCCATCATCCATCCATCCATCCATCCCTCCATCATCCGTCCATCCCTCCATCATCCGTCCATCCATCCATCCATCCCTCCATCCGTCCCTCCATCCGTCCCTCCATCATCCGTCCATCCGTCCATCCATCCCTCCATCCCTCCATCATCCATCCCTCCATCCCTCCATCCCTCTCTCCCAGCCCATCTCCACGGCTCCCAGGCTTTGCAGGCCCCACGCACCGCCAGGCAGGTCCCTGTCTGTGCTGCCTTGTTGCTCGACTGAACCACCATGGCCTGGAGCTTCTTCAGCTGCTCCAGGAGGGATCTGGGAACAGGGAGAGCCCATGAGCCTCCATACCAACACTTCCCACCCCACCTTGTCCCCATCCTGCCCCAGGAACACCTACGAGTTCTGCTTCTCCAGGTGCAGGACTTTCCTCTGCAGCTCCTGGTTCTGAGCCGTGCACGCCGACATCCTGGGACAGGGAGAGCAGCATGGGGTCAGGGGACAAGGAGCAGAGTGCCCAGGGTGCCACCGTGCCCAGCTGAGGGGCTGGGCTCTGTACCTGCTCTCCAGCCCATCGATGTATTCCTTCTTCTTCTTGCGGCTCTCCTGAGCCGACTGCTTGTTCCGGATCTTCCTCCGGATCTTCTTCAGCACCCGCTCCTCGTACTGGGGGAGACACGGGGGGTCAGGGCCACCAGGGCTGGGACCCCCTCGCCACACCCCTCCCAGGTGTCCTGGCACCCACCTTGGTGAGGGGCAGCTGCGTGGGCAGGGTCACCCCCTCCTTCAACAGCAGCTTCTTCTCGTCCTCTGTCAGCACCAGCTCCTGGAAGTGGCCCTGGCTCGGCCGGAGCAGGAAGCCAGGAGCCTGTGGCTGCTGTGGGGACATGGAATGGTGACACCTTTGGGTGGGGGTCACTCCCCACCTGGCCCCAGGGACCCTGGTGAGGGTCCCAGGAAGGGACCAGGATCACAGACAAGGATCAGGAAGGGAAAGGGAACAAGTGTGAGGATGAGGAGGGATAGGGATGGGAATGGGGGATGCTCAGGGTCCAGGAAGGGACAGGGCTGGGGACAGGGAGTGTTGGGGACACAGGGACAGGGACTCACATTGTCAGAGCTGCCCGACAGCAGCAGGTCCTTGACGGTGAGGGCACAGGATGCGGGCGGGGGGACCGCAGGCAGGTCCTGGCTCTCCTCCAGGAAGAACCCAGGGTGCCACATGTCTGGATGAGGGCAGAGCAGGGCTGTCAACAGAGCTGTGTCCCCACTGTCCCCAGTGTCCCCACTGCAGGACCCTCCCCCTGCCATGGCCCCAGAACCAGGGTGACTTGCTGCCCAGTCCAGTGCCCCTGACTCTGTCCCCCCAGACTGTCCCTCTGGTCCTGCCCTAGTCCCCCCCACCATCAGTCTGCCCAGTTCACCCCAATCTCTCTGCACTCTCCCTATCTCCTCCCTAGCCCACCAGACCTCCCAGTTGTTTCCAGTTTCCCCCAGCTCCCAAAATTTCCTCACAGTTCCCCCCTCCCCCACTGCTCTCAGCTCCCCAGTCCCCCCAGTGCCCCCAGCCTGGTCCTTCCACAGTGTGGCTCACCCAGGTCGATGGAGACCTCGGGCTGCAGGACCCCAGACCCCGTCGGGAGGGGCTGGGCCCGGCAGGGGTCGGTGTAGGGGTGCAGGACCTCTCGGGGACCCCCATCACAGCTCCAGGGGGGGCTGTCGTGCTGGTCAGAGGGGGGGTCCTCGGACACCCCGCTGTCACTGGTGGCCGGGGACCAGCTGGGCGAGTCCGACACCGAGTCCCCGGAGCCCAGGACGGAGCTCAGGAAGTCCTTGCTGTCCGGGGCACGCTGCGGGGACACGGCACCGTCACCGGGAGCACCCGTGCCCCGGGCTGTGACATCCCAGGGCTGTCACCCAGCAGGGCTGGGGCGGGGCAGGGTCCGGGGCTCACCCTGTCCTGGGGCCAGGCTCCCGGCGGCGTCCCCAGCTCCACCTCGCGCAGGATCCCGTCCTGGAAGTCGAAGAGGAGATCCAGCAGTTCCAGGCTCTCGAGGCTGCCCGTGCTGGAGGCCATGGCTGTGGGATGGCAGGGTCACTGCCCAGCCCAGGCCCCGTGGTACCCCCCAGAGCCACCCCCACACGAGCTGCACAGCCCTGGGACACCCCGAGTCGTGGGGCAGCTCAGAGGGGGCAGGGGCATGTTGGGATTCATCTGGAAAAGCCCTACAGGTGTGGGACAGGATGTGGAGGCTCCAGGCATGGCAGTGCTCCCCCCTCCTCCCAGCAGTTCCCAAATCCTCCAGTTTTCCACCCAGAGCTGCCCAGCCAGGGGGTTCCCTCCTGGAGGTGGCCGTGCTGGAAGGGCTGGTTAATCATTCTGGGTGGCAAGTGGAGGGAAGGGGACTGCGGCCACTGGTCACCCCAGGGAGGGGACTCAGTCCCTCACTGCTACCCCAGGCACTGCTTGAGACCCTGGACTCAAGAGCCACTGGGCCAGCTGACCACTAAGCCCAACTGGCCAATCAGCCAAGTGACATCCCAGCCACCCGACCAGCTGACCCACTGACCAACTGGTTGACCAGTCAGTGAATGAACTGATCAAGAGACACACCAAATGGTCAACCTGTTGGCCAAATGACCAATGGATGGACTGCCCCAACAACCAGCCCACTGACCAATGGACTGACCAGTCAACTCTCTGCCTGACTGACCAACCAACCAACCAACCCACCACCCACCAACTGACTCAAATGTCCTCCAATCCAGCTGGGGACAGTTGTCATTACTTGACATTTGTCTGGGGCCAAGGGGCTTTATTGCACCCTGTCCTTCACCCTGAATCCTCTCAGAGAATCCTGGTGGCCCCACAGGATCTCACTGAGCAGTGGCAGCCAGGACATACCTGAGGGAGATGCCATAGATTGTCCTCTCAGCCCTCTCTGAGCACAGGGAGCGCGGTGGACAGCAAGCCCGGCCTTCGCCTTCCTCCTCTTCCTCCTCCTTTGTGATTCCCTGAACCGAATGGCAAAGTTTAAACTCCAACTGCACAGAAATAATATCCTAGATTGCAAAATGCCCCAGCCCTGATTGGGGCCGTCAGAGTGAGATGGCAGGGCCACCCCGGGGCTGGACCCGTAACTCATTAGCCAAATGTTTTTGTGCTCCTCTGCCAAGCGGGGCAGGAGGGGCCGGGGCTGCCGGGCGAAGTCCAGGTGCTATAATTGTCCATGAACCTTCACCCACTTTTGGGGACAGTTTCCCTTTTTCAGACGTCTCGGCGTTAATCACATTGGATGCGTGCTGAGGGCAATATCCGGGGTTGTTTGTTGGGCTCTAGCACTTATGGCTCATCCAAAAACACCTTGGTGCCTTGGTTCTCCCTGGAGAGACACCACAGAGAAGGGATGGAGGGACAGCACACAGGGAACGGCTTTCCGGGGACAGAGGGCAGGGATGGATGGGATATTGGGAATTAGGAAGTGTTCCCTGTGAGGGTGGGCAGGCCTCACAGGGAACAATCCAGATCCCAGAGCAGCTGGGGCTGCCCTTGGATCCCTGGCAGTGCCCAAGGCCAGGCTGGACATTGGGAGGTGTCCCTGCCATGGCAGGGGTGGAAAGGGATGTGTTTAAAACCCACCCCAACCCAGCCCATCCCGGCATTCCCTCACGGCTGTCTCGGGCTCACACGCGGTGCCAAACCTTCATCCCCTGCGGTGAGGGGCACCAGCACAGCCCCAGCACGCGTCCCCTCACGAGCCGCAGTGAGATCCGGGCACAGGGAGGGGACAGAGCTGACTAAGGCTCCGTGTGGCCCAGGCGTGGCGCGGGGACAAGGCCACGGCCCCTTATCGGCCGCCCCACGGCCTCTGCCCGGGCAGGCGGCGGCTGCTCCCTGCTTTATGGCCCCGCCGGGACCGGGCAAAGGGCGCCCGCCCGGTGCCGCCACCCGGGGCCCCTCCTGAGGAACCTCGGGGGTCCCGGCGCCTGGCATCGGGCATGGAACGGGATGAGCAGCTCAGGCAGGGGCTGAGGGACTCCTGCCCATTGCTGGAGTGCTAATTAGCGATTATTTAATTAACGCTCCGCCCACACAGCCGGAGCCCCTCAGAGCCCCTCGAGCGGGGAACCTCCGCCACCTCCTTCTCCCCCTCAGCGACATCTCGCGAGACTTCGCCCCTCCGCGCGCTCTTGGGCCCCGCCCCCTGTGCCGGAACGGGGCCCCGCCCCCCCCCG